GGGTGGATTTGATTTAAATCAAACTGATTTAAATCACTAGTCAGTAAGGCTTGATTTAAATCATAGTTTTCTACATAAAGACTAATTCTTGCTGGTATAACTTTAATATGCATGTAGATGAAGATTTTTAGAACAACAACTTTTCATATTAGTTTTTTTTATCCCCAGTTTAATAGGTTAATCATTCATATTTGGACAACTTTCCTGTTGTACTTAGGAAGGAGAAAAACAATCATTATCTTAATAACACCAATTTAAATAGATTTATTCATCTGAAACAATAACATTCCAGCATATGTTATTTGCTTAAATAAACATCCATGTTTGTTAACTAATTTGGCTAAACAAAATATATATATTTTAAGAAATTTAGACTGTCAGCCCCTTCCTCCTCACACTTAGTTTCACTTTCTTCTTGTGCAGATCTATTCCACTCCAAACAATCAGAAAAATATTGTTTCTATTCACTGAACTTCTTGAAACTTTGCACTGAAGGGGTTGATTCTGTATTCATAGGTTTGTAGAAGTTAGGATTAAGGTCTTTTTCTTAACTGTCTTCATGTTATAACATTTTTGCTGTGAAGAAGAGGCATGTGATCTCTGCTGAGTCAAATTCAGTTTTGAGAACTGCAAAAGTAAACCAAGCATCTGTGATAATATCTTGTAGGCAGAGAAACTGCCCAATAATCTTACAAAAACCTCTGGAAGAGCATGACATTGTGAATGGATTAATGGAATTTATTTACCAAAAAAATTAAACATATGCAGCCTTTTTCTACATAAATAAAAAACTAATCTTTATTTCATGATGGAATAACCTTTGGATGGTAATATATTTTCCTCAAAAAGCATGTTATTCAAAAAAATCCGATTTTTAAATAAAAAAAAAAAAAAAAATCCGATTTTTTTTTTTTTTTTTTTTTTTTTTTTTTTTTTTTTTTTTTTTTTTAAATCATTGATTTTTATCCACCCTGGTTTCCATGGACATGGTCTGGTAAGGTTTGAATTTGGGCTGGAGGCGATAATCGTTGTGCGTAGAAATTGCTTTGATCCACAATCAATGCATACAGATCTTCTGTGAAAAACTGCTCCAAAAAGTCAAGGGGAGTATTTAAATTTTGTTGTTTGCACCTGAATTCTGGGTTGGGCAGTGACTGGGGGAAGTACAGGTGCTACAGAATTTATGGACTGCCAATCAGGATTTGCAAGCATATCCATAAGGACACTATGGGCTCTACAGGCCTGTGTTTGAATTTTTGGTGGCTGCGAGACACTACTTGTGCTTGCCACTGCACCAGCTTGTACTGCACTTATGGTACTCGCCACGTCACCAAGTGATACTGCAGTGCTGCTATGTAAAAGACCAGGATGTACTAGGCTGCTGGTGCTCGCCAGTTCACCAAAAGGTAGAGCGGCACTAGTACTGGCACTCTGCTGCATATGAGAATCATCATGCAATTGTAACACCTCAGCAACCTGGGAACGGGGTCGGGTACGCCTGACCATAGCAGGGATCTCTACTCCATCGTCCTGAGCTATCTGTCAGGGTGCCTTTCTCTACAGGTTCATATTCTAAACCTGATTCTGTCAGTGAGGCTTCCCGTTCGCTCTCATCTGCCATGCTCAGAAGCCTGTAGGCCTCTTCACTAGTGTACCTTTTGTTGACCTTTTGGCCACTAAATTTATAGATACCTGGTACAAAAAAAATGTACCTTCTACTGCTACCAGAGATCAGGCCTGATCCTGATAACCCTGCAGTTTTGTGTGCAGTGTATTAAGTGATCGTGATCTACTGACTACACTTGCTGTGTGAGGAGGACGGGGTTAAGCATGGGGGCTAAACGCAGGTGCTGGGGCTGATCCTGCTAATGCTGCATTTTGGGGACAATATACTATTGTGAACACTGGTTTAGTTCTGATCTGATCAAAGATATTTGATATACACTGGTGACAGGGCAGTGAAGGCGATCAGGGGGTTAAATGTGACCTGTCAGTGCTTTTACTGTAAAAGTGTAGTGCTTTGACCCATGTGGATCTGCTTTCTTCTCTCTCTCTCTGGAACGGAATGTGCTTTAGGGAGAGAGGATAGCATCATTTCCTGCGCCTGTGTAATGTAAACACAGGCTGAGCTGTGATTGGGTACAGCCCTTCAGCAGGTCCAGGCCAAACATCATTGACCTTAGTCTGCTGAGCGATTGGTGCTGTAGGGCGGATGATAGTTGGTTTAAAGTACAGGTAGCATTTGTTCTTCCCTGAAACCTATACATTGCAGCACACAAGGCATTCTGTGTGGTGCCATTCATTTGCAGTAGGTACCAATGTAATCGTTGCAGTGCACAACAATGCACATATCTTTTCAGTGAGGTGCGTTGTGTTTAAAAAAAATAAAATAATAAAAAAAGGAACTTTTTTTTTTTTTTACCGATGGACTTATATAGGGCCAAATCCCCTTGTGCTCTTGCCATCACAGCTGATGTCTATCTTCCCATGCTGCACCACACCAGCACTCTAACCCCCACAGTCACCAATGCAACTGACCCTCCAAACTGCCCCTGCTCTTGCCACCTCTCCTGCATGCCCCTACACCAACACATGCCTCAGCACTAGCCGCCACTGTACCAAAGCCCACTATTTAACCTTTTTTAAATTGCTTCACATTTTTACATTGATCTCAAAGTTTATAATAGTTACTGCTGACTAATTGGATACAGAACTGCCCTTTTGAGCATAGTGTTTATGATGTCTTGAGAATTTCTGAAGACCAGTTGCTACCAGTGCTGGGATAAGATGATCCAGTACCTTGGGTGAAGATGGCAAACTACAAGTTAAAAAAAATGTCTCTGCATTAGGAGGGAAATATGACATTGACATTGTATCAGTTGGGGGGGCTCTTTGAAATGCATGAAACTAAAGGGATCCCTTGTCAGTCTAAGGAGGACAGCTTTGACATCTATGTCATCTATGTCAGTTGGATGGAGGAGGGAAGGGGAGGTGGGCTCTTTGAAATGCATGAAACTAAAGGGATCTAGGAGGGCTTTTCTGAGGTGGAGGAGGGAAGGGGAGGTGGGCTCTTTGAAATGCATGGTGGGAAGGGGGCTAAAGGGCTGTAAGGGAAAAAATAGAAGCTAAGAGGCTGCAGGGGGTTTCTGAGGAGGAGAGGTGGGGTCTAGGGCTGAGTTGTTCCCCCACCCTTTGTGTACTCACCCAGTTCAGACTTCCTTCTTCGTGTGGTGCCCATCGGTCATGTGATATTTTACGTGGCAATGGGAGACTTGAAGAAGGGCAGTCTGCCCTCATTCCTTAGCAGCACCATGCTGAGTCAGAGGTGTGTTCTTAGCAGGCGCCGGCTCTCTCCTGTCCATACTGCCTGCTATTTGTGCCCTTTTTGTCCTCTCTCATTGTACCAGTGCTGCAACTACTATTATGTTTGTGTTTTGTATCATGTTGAAGGTACAGACTTTCTATTTTTTTTAGAAGTCTGACACACTAAGGGCTTGTTAACACATGACTGTTTTTCCAACTCTTGCCAAACGCCCCTATAGCGTTTGGCAAGCGCTGGTCCGGCGTTTGCGGAGCATTTTTAACGCTCCGCAAATGCCGCATGTGCAAGTTTAGTGGCGGTTGCTAGGCGTTTGACAAGCGTTAAAAACGCCCTACAAACGCCTATAATGAAGTTTGAATGGTGTTAACGCCCCGCAACCGCACCACAAATGCCGGCCGGGCATTTGCGGAGCAGCACCATAGACTTGAATAGGAGGCTTCAACTCCTCCTGACTCGACCAGAGGCGTCCGTTTTGCTGCGACGTAACTCTCCCGTTTGCACAGCACCATGTGCTGCAATGTGCAGAATTTTCCCAGGCGTTTGGGAAACAGTAAAAACGCTTCCCAAACACCTGTCTGCAGCTTGCTACAAGGCTAGTGTGAACGTAGCCTTAATATAAATATTTACATCCTGAATTTTCCACATGTGGAAGCTACAATTTAGACTAATTTGTAAAATGTATAATAAATATATAATGTTAATGTAGTCCTAAAGCGGTATTAATCCAAAAATGTAATATATTACACCTTACTGATCCTTAATTGTGGTGGCTGTATTAGCTTTCTTATTTTAGTCTTTTTTTTTTTTTTTTTTTTCTCTTTATTTTCACCTAGTGATTTGGCCAGTAACACTTTTTTTTAAAGCTGACCATACACCAGTAAAAGTTTATTCAAACATTTTTGTTTTAAGAATGATTGATTATTATCGGCAATGAAGTCAAATCAGCATTCATTTTCAACCACATCAATTGCCTCCTAAGGATTGGTAAGCTGCAGTGTAATACATTTTGTTTTTGGGTTTGATACTGCTTTAATGGTTAATGGGCGATTTGAGAGTGTTTGCTGTTTATTGCAAATGAAAATTTTTTGTTTGCATTACTCATTTTGCAGATTGACAAGAGAAAAATATTAATACATTTGGTATCTAGCAAAAATAGTCTATACCTGGCATACAAAGGCAATAAAGAAATCCTGTAATATACTAAAATTATTTTGGCAAAGAACTTACTGGTAAGGAAGAGGCTGAAAACTTCCCATTCCTGCTGACCACACTGTTCAGTTCTGCCCCGTTGCAGAGAACAGGTCTACTGGCAAACTGACACTTCCAGGAGTGTCATTTTCTGGGTCCCCTATGGTTCCACCGGTCAATACTGTACCCTATTGTGACACAATTTCAGAGTAAGAAACCAGGGAGAGTTGCAGGGGACCACAGAGTTCCCACATCCCTTTTCTCTACAGGTATGTCCCTGGCTGTAAGCATTTTCGTACATAAGAGTCTCTTCAAATAGACCTTTAGAAAGTCAGTAATGATTCTGGAAGCAAGTAAAGATCAATTTTGCATTCTAGCTTGTTTGCATACTTGTGCAGAATTTCCTTGGAAACTGACAATGTATTTTCTGACACAATCCAAAGCATCTTTTGCATTCTCTAATATTTAGTGTATTGTGTTCTCTTTTGCAGAAGCTGCTTGTGCTACACCACTGATTTGCAGTGTAGGCAGACCTATTGATCTGGAGAAGGACGACTACCAGAAAGTCATCTGTAACAATGAACACTGTCCATTTAGTACCTGGATGCATCTGCAGTGCTTTTATGAATGGGAAAGCAGCATACTTGTTCAGTTCAACTGTATAGGTAGAGCACGAAGCTGGAATGAAAAGCAATGCCGTCAGAACATGTGGACTAAGAAGGGATATGATTTGGCTTTCCGGTTTTGCTCATGCCGTTGTGGTCAGGGACACTTAAAGAAGGACACAGATTGGTATCAGGTGAAACGAATGCAAGATGAAAAGAAGAAAAAATCTGTCTCTGAAAAGCCAATAGGCCGATCTGTATCAGAGTCTTCTGATGATGCAAAAAAGTGCCGTGCTACAACAAAGCTCCAAAAAGGACTGACCTTTGACCCTCCTCGAAGACATTCAGTGGACAGACAGAACTCCCAAGAAAAGGGTAGCAGTGGAGGATCACATGGTCTACGTTCTCCATGTGTTTCTCCTGGCCAATCTCCTCCTGCTGGCTACCCCATCCTTTCTCCTTCTCACTTCAATGTTCCACGCAGTTCTAGATATTTAGGAGAATTTTTAAAGAATGCAATTCATTTGGAGCCTCATAAGAAAAATATAGCCTCTGGAGGAGTGCTCCGGAACACCCACTTTGACTACAGTGTTTCTGGATTGCAAACTCACAGGTCTGGGCGTTCTGATGCACCAGTGCAGTTTCTCCGGAGACTTGACCTTTCAGAATTATTAGCTCATATACCCCGGCATAAACTGAATACTTTCCATGTACGTATGGAGGATGATGCACAGGTCGGACAAGGGGAGGACCTACGGAAATTTATTTTGTCCGCTCTCAGTGCCAGTCATAGAAATGTAGTCAACTGTGCATTGTGTCACCGAGTGCTGCCTGTATTTGAGCAGTTCCCACTGGTGGATGGGACATTATTTCTCAGCCCTTCTAGGCATGATGAGATTGACTATGATGTACCTTGTCATCTTCAAGGTAAAACATTTTAGTACAATAAGTTATAATTCTAACTGATATTAAAGGGAAATCTAAGGTAACGTTTCAAAGTTGAATCTGTGGTACAGCAGAAATAGACTGTAAATTACATTTGATTTTTTTGTTGTGCACTGTCCTCATACACTCTGACCAGTTGTAGTGCCTTTTCTACCTGTTCTTCTCTAGAAGGGCTCCATTGCATGAGGTAGGTTAATATTTGGTACATTGAGACTGGGACATGGGTGACTGTAGGTCCTAGAATTCACTTAATCTGGAACATGGTAAATGGGAGAATAGGTGACCTGGAGGCAAGTTCCGTTTACAGAACTTCCCTCACTGGACCTTTATCGGTGAATGCTTTTAACACTCTGTATAATACAGTGCATTTTGCATACTATAAATCATGAGGTATTCTGATAAACTTGTCTTTGATAATGTGAGACAACTTACTTTACAGTAGAAAAGGATATACAGTATCTCACAGAAGTGAGTACACCCCTCACACTTTTGTATATATTTTATTCTATCTTTTCATGTGACAACACTGAAGAAATGACACTTTGCAACAATGTAAAATAATGAGTGTACAGCTTGTATAACAGTGTAAATTTGCTGTCCCCCTCAAAATAACTCAACACACAGCCATTGATGTCTAAACAGCTGGCAACAAAAGTGAGTACACCCCTAAGTGAAAATGTCCAAATTGGCCCAAAGTGTCAAAATTTTGTGTGGTCACCATCATGTTCCAGCACTGCGTTAACACTCTTGGGCATGGAGTTCACCAGAGTTTCACAGGTTGTCACTGGAGTCCTCTTCCACTCTCCATGACAACATCACAGAGCTGGTGGATGTTAGAGACCCTGCGCTCCTCCACCTTCCATTTGAGGATCCCTCACATGCCTGGAGACATGCTTGACCAGTCCGTCACCTTTACACTCAGCTTCTTTAGCAAGGCAGTGGTCGCCTTGGAGGTGTGTATGGAGTCGTTATCATGTTGGAATAGTGAACTGCAGCTCAGTCTCTGAAGGGAGGGGATAATGCTCTGCTTCAGTATGTTACAGTACATGTTGGCATTCATGGTTTCCTCATTGAACTGTAGCTCCCCAGTGCCGGCAGCACTCATGCAGCCCCAGACCATGACACTCCCACCACCATGCTTGACTGTAGGCAAGACACACTTGTCTTTGTACTCCTTACCTGATTGCCTCCACACACGCTTGACACCATCTGAACCAAATAAGTTTATCTTGGTGTCATCAGACCACAGGACATGGTTCCAGTAATCCATGTCTTAGTCTGCTTGTCTTCAGCAAACTGTTTGCGGGCTTTCTTGTGCATTATCTTTAGAAGAGGCTTCCTTTTGGGACGACGCCATGCAGACCAATTTGATGCACTGTGCGGCGTATGATCTGAGCACTGACAGGCTGACCCCCCACCCCTTCAACCTCCTGCAGCAATGCTGGTAGCACTCATACCTCTATTTCCTAAAGACAACCTCTGGATATGATGCTGAGCACGTGCACTCAACGTCTTCTTTGGTCGACCATGGCGAGGCCTGTTCTGAGTGGAACCTGTCCTGTTAAACCGCTGTATGGTCTTGGCCTCCGTGCTGCAGCTCAGTTTCAGGGTCTTGGCAATCTTCTTACAGCCTAGGCCTTCTTTATGTAGGGCAACAATTCTTTTTTTCAGATCCTCAGAGAGTTCTTTGCCATGAGGTGTCATGTTGAACTTCCAGTGACCAGTATGCGAGTGAGAGCGATAACACCAAATTTAACACACCTTCTCCCCATTCACACCTGAGACCTTGTGGCTCTAACAAGTCACATGACACTGGGGAGGGAAAATGGCTAACTGGGCCAATTTGGATATTTTCACTTAGGGGTGTACTCACTTTTGTTGCCAGTGGTTTAAACATTAATGGCTGTCGGTTGAATTATTTTGAGGGGACAGCAAATTTACACTGTGTATAGAAGCTGTACACTCACTACTTTACATTGTAGCAAAGTGTCATTTCTTCAGTGTTGCCACATGAAAATATATATAAATATAATAAAATATTTACAAAAATGTGAGAGGTATACTCACTTCTGTGAGATACTGTACTGTAGGTACAATATCCATTTCTCATATACTCAGGTTACTTGGGATTGCAAGAAACAAAATTGTGCCCTTACTGTCTTTCCTCCACTCAATTTTGTCTGCAACCTGATCGTACATTTTTGAATGATGAAATATAATTATGCGTGATTGTGTTTTAATAGGAGATTTTTTTCTACACAGAGTTTGGTAAAAGCAGATATCTGGATAGGATGAATCTCTATCCTTCCACCTAGAAATCGTGCAGTTCAGGAAACAGGAGACATATTCATATACCATGAGTTATAGGCCCATACCTTCAGGCGATTGGACACTGGCAAGCCTTGGAGGACATGCTCCCCTGGGGCTTCTTCCCTATGACCCTACCCGACTCCATCTTCATTTTTTTTGGTAGTGTCTGAAAGTGATGTACCTCTTCTACTTCACAGAGAAATCAGCTTTCTAGTTTATTATTTTTTTAAATTCTTTTATCATCTCACTGTCTTCTAATGCTTATGCAGAAGCAGCATATCTGGATTGGTACGATCATAGTAAAACCTTGGAAGCCGCACCTGGAACCCATGCTGTGGGGATGACCTGTAATGCTGCTTAAAGTGGTTGTAAACCTGAAACTTGAAATATTCTAAAAGCATATCCTTCTACACAGTGTACTTTATCTCTATCAAGAGCACTGAGTGTGATTCCTCTCTGCTAGCCCTCTGAGTCACTTCCAACAGCTTCTCCTGACTCCAAGAGACAATTGGTGATGGGGGAGGAGAGCTCCAGCTCATAGCCTGTGATTGACAGCCATAGCTGTGCATTTTCCTGTGTACTGTGAGAAAGGGGGTATGCCCTTTCCCTCCAATCAGGGATCAGAGGTGACCTCACTGAGCTTTGCAGTGAGAGACTTTAGATCCTCATCCCCCTCTTCCTCAGGGCTTAGAGATGTTGTGTATGTTTTAGAAGGCTGTAGAGAACAAAGGACCGCTGATAAACAGGTACAACGTATGTAGGAGGATTTGTTTCATCTCTGTCAATGCTAGTCACTTCAGTGGGTATATGTAAGGGTTTACAAATACTCGAAGGCACTGGATCCTCTATGGGTGTTCACCTTGGCACTTTGTGCAATGCATTGAGTCAGCTGCAGGGCAGTGGCGTAGCGTGGGTTGTCAGCACTTGGGGAGGAACAACAGAGATCTGCCTATGTTTACATAGCACTGTAATAGTCATTGAAGTATTCACTGGTCTCTATTTCTTTTTTATGATGTTTCCTTTCTCTTTTACTATCACACTGGTCATCATTGATTATAACACATTTTTATTAACACTGCACATTGATATTATAGTGTTTTGTTTTGGTGGAGACAGAGGGGTTGCCACATTGTGCTAGCTGCTTTACTTTTTTTTCTTTTTGTCGTTTTTTTTTGTTTATAACGCACAAAGTTACTATCGCAGAGGTGATCAAATAGCACCAAAAAGCTCTATTTGTGGGAAGAAAAGGACATATATTTCATTTGGGCATTGGGCAATTGTCAGTTAAAGTAATGCAGCGCCGTATCACAAAATATTACCTTAGGAAGGGGAGGTAAATCGCACGGAGCTGAAGTGGTTAAAATTCTGCACAATCTCAAGGCACCTTTTAAATTCTGCATAATCTTCAGGCACCCATCACAAAATGTAAAAGTCTAAACTAATCGTTTTACTGAATGCAGCAACATCTGCACATGTAGGAATCCCAACACTAGAGGTGATATATACAGTCAGGTCCATAAATAATGGGACATCGACACAATTCTAACATTTTTGGCCCTATACACCACCACAATGGATTTGAAATGAAACAAACAAGATGTGGTTTAACTGCAGTCTGTCAGCTTTAATTTGAGGGTATTTACATCCAAATCAGGGGAACGGTGTAGGAATTACAACAGTTTGCATATGTGCTTCCCACTTCTTAAGGGACCAAAAGTAATGGGACAATTGGCTTCTCAGCTGTTCCATAGCCAGGTGTGTGTTATTCCCTCATTATCCCAATTACAATGAGCAGATAAAAGGTCCAGAGTTCATTTCAAGTGTGCTATTTGCATTTGGAATCTGTTGCTGTCAACTTTCAAGATGAGATCCAAAGAGCTGTCACTATCAGTGAAGCAAGCCATCATTAGGCTGAAAAAACAAAACAAACCCATCAGAGAGATAGTAAAAACATTAGGCGTGGCCAAAACAACTGTTTGGAACATTCTTAAAAAGAAGGAATGCACTGGTGAGCTCAGCAACACCAAAAGACCCGGAAGACCACAGAAAACAACTGTGGTGGATGACCGAAGAATTCTTTCCCTGGTGAAGAAAACACCCTTCACAACAGTTGGCCAGATCAAGAACACTCTCCAGGAGGTAGGTGTATGTGTGTCAAAGTCAACAATCAAGAGAAGACTTCACCAGAGTGAATACAGAGGGTTCACCACAAGATGGAAACCATTGGTGAGCCTCAAAAACAGGAAGGCCAGATTAGAGTTTGCCAAACGACATCTAAAAAAGCCTTCACAGTTCTGGAACAACATCCTATGGACAGATGAGACCAAGATCAACTTGTACACTTGTACCAGAGTGATGGGAAGAGAAGAGTATGGAGAAGGAAAGGAACTGCTCATGATCCTAAGCATACCACCTCATCAATGAAGCATGGTGGTGGTAGTGTCATGGCGTGGGCATGTATGGCTGCCAATGGAACTGGTTCTCTTGTATTTATTGATGATGTGACTGCTGACAAAAGCAGCAGGATGAATTCTGAAGTGTTTCGGGCAATATTATCTGCTCATATTTAGCCAAATGCTTCAGAACTCATTGGACGCCGCTTCACAGTGCAGATGGACAATGACCCAAAGCATACTGCAAAAGCAACCAAAGAGTTTTTTAAGGGAAAGAAG